CAGCGTTCTTATCGTTATTTGTTTCTGATCAGTATCAAACGACGGCGGGATAAGTCCAACTCTTCTTAGGTGGTCGGGGCAAACTTCCTCAACTTTAAGTGGAACATCTTTCTCGGTGCGCGACCTTGTTCTCCATATATTCCACAACAGCAGCAGGATAGCTAGAAGATGTGAGAGGTCTCCTGTTAGTCTGAAAACATTCATTCTTTTCTCGTGTGGTAAAAATATCCAGGTGGTAAACGAACAGCCAACAGCTGGTCAAACTACTTTCAGGCGGTCAAGAGACTTAAGAGTGTTTAAAGGCGGCTTAGAGGGAAACCAGAGAAAGCCAATGCATACAAGGATGCCATCAACCAACGTGTAGAAAAAGGGGTATGTTATAGAGGCAAAGGAGGCAGTTGATGTTGACAAGAAAGTGGTACTTACCTCATCACGCAGTATTCCGGAAGGACAAGAAAACTACAAAAGTGTCGTGTTGTCTTTGATGCCTGAGCTTATAATGAACACGAGATATCGCTCAATGACTGTATTTTTTAAGGGCCAGCACTTCAAACTAATCTTCTCAAGTTAATGAAGGCGTGGAGCTCTAATTTTCCTAGTATAAAATTGAAGGGGTAGTCCGTCTATCTTTTGAAGGTTTTGTGGTAGCAGCGTGAAACTTCCTTACACAAGTACATTGTTAGTTTGTGTAATTTTGTTATCATAAAATGTGAAAATGAGCCATGTGACCTGTCACAGCTAAAAAAAACCTGTTTATTGAAATGGGTGTAACTTTTTCTTGAGACCTTAGTTTTTTTACTACTCGCATAATTTTAACACTATTACGTATATCATTACTGTGCTTGGCAATGTTAAAAATCTCTTAAGTGGCGAGTGTTCAACAAAAGGAGTATTTTTTTGCGGAGTTTCTCTTAGTAGTGCGTACTTTCAATTAAAGAATAAGAATTTTTAGGTTATGGGCACTCCAAAAAGAACAACATACAACAACATCAGCACAAAAATGCTACAAAAAATGCTAAGCTGTGCAAGCATATTTGATATCAAAATGCCACGTAACGAAAAATAAACATCTCAAAATAAGTTTGTGTGTAAGCATAATATTATGATAACAGTGCGAGAAAAAAATTGTGTAAAAATAGAACGTGAAATATTCCTCTAGAGGTACAGAAGTCATAAAAGCATAAATATCACGAGTTAGTATAAATGTATACACACTCAATGCTCTTGGTGTTAAAGGTTACTGGACGGGTTAAGTAACTGTGGCGAAATGAACGGTTACCCCGGCGCAGGGAAGCGTCAAGTTCGGTGATTGGTTCAAGCGGTGAATGTCATACATTTCAGTGAAATAAAGTGAAGTACGTTACTTGGCTACATCTCATTGGTGAAGAGAGGGGGCCCTTTTCCAGTGGTACGACTCGTGCGAGTCGTACAAATGTTGAAATGGTATCTCATTAGCGTCACCTAAAAATTGTGAGCAGAGTTGTATAGAGAGGGCTTTTCGAGTGGTACAACTCGCACAACTGGTGAAACTGTATCCTATTAGCGCACAGAGATAGCACGTTCAATTTCTTTCTAATTTAGTTAGTTCAACAGTAGCACAAACAGTATGAAGATTCTTCTTCTATGTTAAGCATTCTAATTATTCCATACAGGTCGTCGTGTTGGTGAACCGGCATAATTGGACAAGAACGTACCATACGAATATTAACCACGTACTGTAATCATACCATTTCTAGCACACAAAAAGTCTAGCTTGCACATGAGCACCAACGAATACAGCATAAATATACCTCGTAAGTGTAATAATTATATAGATTCTACTAGGGCGAAAAGAGAAGCTCTCGTTTACATACTCATAGTTTACTCAAACAAAAATAGGTCTAAGCAGAAAAATAAAATGTTTTTGCAAATACAGCACACCCTATTGCCCGTTTCTTTGCCGTTGTTTTGTACTTCTATGACGTGAAAATTCCTTGTAAAACGTTTTATGGAGGAAATGTTGTATGTTTTCCTGTTCGCTTTTTGTTTTTCACCGCCGCTCATTTTCACCTTAGTGGCCGTTGGCATTTCTCATTTTATCACCGCCCGGCTATAAAATTTTCATGTTTTTCTTCCAACGAAATTCTTCTGCTTTGTATTTTACATCTAGCTCCATTTCGTTCTCTGTTATCCACGTCAGCGCAGACGTTAAAATTTTGTCGGGAAAAAGACTCGGCTTTAATAGATGTATGGATGGTGTATATGAATATACCTTATTCTATAAGCATATTACACGAGAACGAGAAACATTTCATATCGTTTCGATCGTGCAAAGAGTCTTGACCACGACATTCTTATTCATAGGCTTCAGTCCCTGCTCGGCCTACGTGGGTCAGCTCTTCAATGGTTTCGATCCTATCTGAGAGGTCGATCGCAACAAGTTACAATTAATGGTGCTCTTTCCAAAAAGTTTGACCTAGAATGTGGGGTGTCTCAGGATTTATGACTTGGTCCCCTGCTTTTACCATCTATGCTAGCAAACTTTTCAGTATTATTAAATCTCACCTGCAGTCTGCACACTCGTACGCAGATGATAATCAATTATACTTGTCATTTCGCCCATCAGAGAGTACGTGTGAAGCTGAGGCGCTAGATGCTATGGAGAAATGCATCGCTGATGTTCGTTCATGGATGATTAATGATAAGTTGAGTAGAACGATGATAAGACTGAGTTTCTGGTGATCGGCACGAGCAAGCAGCTATCTAAAGTGTCTGTTAGCAGTATTAGGGTTGGCGACGTTGATGGATTAAATTCCTGTATACTCGGCAAAAAATCTGGGCTCTGGGTTCGACTTGCACATGGATATGGCAACGCATATAACAAAGACCTGTGGTAGTGCATCATCTGTATAATATCCGACACATACGGAAACCCTTACTAGTGAATGTACTGAGAAACTGATTCATGCATTTAGCCCCATTTACAGGGGTTTCAATAAAAATTGAAGTAGCCAGCAGTTTTGAATAGAGTAACCGGCTGTATCAACAGTCCACGTTTTCAAGGGGCCAGGGCCAGGGCCCGGTTGCATAAAACGCCCGTAACAGTTACGGGTATACGTACATGTACTCGTAACTTAAGTGAGTTGCATTAAATCATTTACGCGGTCCACTTAGGGATTTCACTTAAGTGACTGCACTTACGATTTTCGTAAGTATCCACTTAAGTGTCATTTATGCAACAGAAATTGCGGGTGTTGCATAAAACTTTTTTTACGGGAAAAATGGCACGTAAATTTACGGGACCTATGTAGGTCCCGTATCCTTACTGTTTCTTGTAAAGTTAACGAGATCTTTCACTGAGAAGTGAAAAAAAAGTTTTTTATTTAAGTAATTCCGTTCTAATGCGCTTTGTTAACCTCTGATGCTCACTTTATTTAAAGCCGTCTTTCAGAAAAAAAGAAGAACATGCAACAAACATTATCAGTAAATATTCTTGTAAAATAACGATGGTATGCAAACGTATTTCAACGAAAGTTAACGGACTTGATGAGTTGCACTCATAGGATATTAAAATGTCAATCTTCTTTGCTGAATGATCTGAAAATATTTAAAAACTGTCATCAGCTTCAATAGATTATAAGGACTGTAAAAAAAAAAAAAACAAATTCCTAACCTTTTTTTTGACCCTCTTCAGTTTCATTAATGTCGTCTTGGTACCCTTCATAAGCATTGCTGCTGTCGCCCGTAGCTTCTTCTTCATCATCGTTTAGAAAAACATTTTCACATTTCTAGGATGTCAGTGAAACGGAATTCTGAAGATGAACAAGGCTCTAACCCCAGAAAAAGAGCGCCGAATTTTAAGACGGATAAAATCTCATAATTTTTTTCTCGATGAGATAAAAAGGAGAAAGATGACTCTTTTCGAAGAAGACTGGGGTGCAGGTGCAATAGAGTGCACTGGTGGTGACGAGCTAATCATCGAGATACTCGGAAAAGAAAATCCCTACCTCGTATCTATAGTTGGTGGAATAGAATCTGGGGATAATATCCAAGCCAGAGAAATACAGCCTATCGTCAACTTCATCTTACCTTCCAGTAGGCCCAGATAGGGTGGTTGAATTAGAAAGTGGCTAGAGAACTTCGGAGAAGGAGTACGAAGAAAGCCGTTTAAGGGAAGAACAAACAAAATAACCAAACTGTACCTGATTCCCACTCTGTTAGGGAACAAGGACACAGAGAAAGGAACATTAAGAAGATATATGAAGAGCATTTAAAAGAAGAGCATGATGTCAACATGAGAATTCTAAAAAGAAGGAACAGCGGCTTGATCTTAAGTTGCAGTTGTTTAGACGAAAACTTAACATTAACAAGTAGTTTAGAACCTGTGCAGATATTACATTAATAAACTATTTTTTATTATGTCGAAACTTCTCGGTCGAATAATTTTTTTTTGGTTAAATGATGACACACTTTTTTCTGTCTATATAAAACGTTATCTCAACCGCCTGAATTTATCATCTAACAGAGGCTCAAGAGTGTTCGAAACGACCAGCTAATTTCTTTACACTCATCGATGGTTAGCTTAAAAAAAATAGAGTGGGTCACTAATAAAGTACTATATCAAAGTTACCTGTGCCCTTAGGTGAGACCGTAAGTTACCACGTAAAACAGAAACTTACGAGAGTGTTAAGTGCGTTCCATGCAACACCCGTAAGTGTCCCCATAACGGATTCGTAAGTGACCTACTTAAGTGCAGGTTTTATGCAACCGGGCCCAGGCCCGTAACTAGGATTTTATGTTGGGGGGGGTGCTAACTAGGCCAAAGTGGACCAAACTACCGGGAGATGTATTTTTTATTGTCTGATCCGTTTATTTAGGAAAGTAGCAATACATGAGAAATTGTAACGGCAAAGTACACGGTAGGAACTGAATATTACATTTGTCGAATACAACTGTTTCATGAATTAAGTTATAAAGGAGTAATTTTACGATGTAAAATGATACGTCAAAATACTGCGGAACTAATCCCTCAGAGTAGTCCCGAGCTCCAGCTTCCGAGGGTGTTTGGTGGCAAACAGATGTACCACCTCATCCAAAACAATTTTAACTTGATAATGTATGTGCATTAGTGCGAGGGACGACAGCCTTTCCTGGCCCATGCATGCCCTGTTATATGTATGCAGCCGCCTTAAAGAACTCGCACTTCTTTCACATTCACAACTCGAAAGAAAGTACACATCAGCTTTTCATAGAATATTGCTATGACATCAGGAAATGACGATAAGAGACCAAAAGAAACATAAAAGAGTCATAAAATGTATTTTCCCTATTTGTGTCTCGAAAACTTCTGTTTTGATGGTTTGGGATGCCTGTGGATTGCTGCCTTAGATTAACCCTCCCAGTCCCTCTCCGAATTGTTACTCTGTGTTCCCAACCTCGTCCCCAGGGCTTTTCCCTTAAAAAATGGGTGCGGCGGGCGCCCCACCCATTTTTTAAGGGAAAAGCCCTGGGGACGAGTTTGCTGTGTTCCCTCACTGGCTTTTTATTAAGCGAGTTTGTTTCATATCGAGGAATAGCGACTAAATCTCCGAGCACAATAATAGGATCAAGACTGGTGGACCAGGGCCGTAGCTAGCATGAGGCAAGACGAGGCAGTTGCCTCGTCTTGATTTTGGCCTTTATTTGTTTTAAGAAACTTCAGCTCACTGAGAAGGCTTAAAACCTGGTCTCGAACAAGCATGGTTAATGGGAGGCTGAACGGGCTTGCTTTAGCGTACATTCATAAACCAACGGAAATTGACAGCAGTTCTGTTTTAAAGAGATGGGATGCCTCTGGCCACAGACGGATTCCCGTAGCTTTCGGTACAGAATAAACGACGGGCAAAGAACTTTCACTATACTAACTGTTAAGGGAGAAGTTTACTACTCTTAATCGTGAAAGTTAGTGGCTTCTTAGTCCTACAGGTATAAGAGATGGCAATATTATGACATGGCTATCTCAAAGTTGAAGAACATAAGCAAGAGTGTATCGAAACAGATAATTGATAAGTGAGCGTGATTCTGTACATCATCTATTAGAGCTAACTTCAAAAAAAAGTGTTACCTAAGACTTCTCCTAATTATCTACAGTATAAATTCCATAAACGTTGGCTACTCTCGTGGATTCATTTTATTGTTATAATACGTGTCACAACTTTTGAATGCTTTAAAATGCAGATGGTCATTAACTTGGCATCAGTGTCGCTAAGCAACAAAAAAGTGAACTTCTACACTTGCCCAAGATTGACTTTTCTGAAGAAAAATGCCACGGGAAGTGCTTACCAGAGCATTTCTGAGCCTCTAGATTTCAAAAATTTCCGAGGTGGCATGCCCCCAGACCCCCCTAGCGGCTCACGCCTTCGGCGCTCGAAACTTGCCTCCTCTTGTTATGAAGTCTGGCTACGGCCCTGTGGACATTTCGAAAATAAGTATGATTTACCTTCTATATCTCGCTGTAAAATTGAAGTTAACTGAGATAGATCTGAAGTCGTGGTTTCAGCTGGGCTGTCATCGCAGACTGCACTGTCATTGTCAGCGTCTGATGGCTCTTGACGGGGTACTTTACTGACCCATGTATCGAGAGACTGGCAAGATTTAGTTGCAGCCTTCCTCTTTCTATTTTCCTGTTCTCTCCTACTCATAACGTATTACACAAAAAACTAATTTTGCATCTTCGGGCGTTCATGCGCTCGTACAAATAGAGTTTACTACCCGACGCGTTAGCGGACGTGTCTGACAAAAATCGTGAGATCGCTCCCTTGTCGTTGGCTCGCTCGTCGTAAACTCCCGTGCAAAGCGTGCCCACTTTAATTTCATTATTCATTTAGATAAGCTCGGACATCTGTGCGCTCATTGAAATGTTCTGAATGGCTCGGGCTAATAGAGTGCAGCTGGTTTTATTTTCCCAGTGAATACACCACTGCTTTTTCCATTCTTTGATTTTGTTTAAATATCACTGTTAAGTTTGAAACTTCAGTTTAACCGATATTGAGTATCAAAATGCGGGCCTTTGGGGCCCGTTGGGGGGGGGGGGGGCGAACGCACCCCGTGAACCCCCCGGTTACGGGCCTGCAGATTTAACACCATGAGAAGATATCTGTAACCCTTGTTTCATTTGCTGAACTGTTGTATTTCAACCAGATCAGAGCACCAAAGTTTGTCGATACCGTTTACAATAACACGCCGCCGAGTAAAGTTGCGTTTTATGGGTTTATGCAATTCATCTGCTAATTGCTGTTGCCAGTTTTCCTCACTCAGCGGCTTTTTCCGTTTAAACCAAGTCCGAGATTCTGTTTTGTGCTGATGACATTTCTAGCCAGCCAATGGCCCCATTGTCTTATATTGTAAGGTACATTGTCTCGGTGTATGACATTTGCAGACTGCAGACTGCAGACCGCAGACCGCAGACCGCAGACCGCAGACCGCAGACTGCAGACCACAGATTGCAGATTGTAAATTAAAAGACACCAAAAATCTTCCTGATAAAGGTGACACCATCAAAAATATAACATGGTGTGAAAGTGAGAAAGTAGCCTGGGAACAGGGTTGATATTTTTGCTCAAAGTTACAGGGTACATTGGCCTCATTTCCAAGATGCTGAAGATGCTGTTGGCTATTCTTCACCGACGCGACTCTTTATTGACTCGCCTGGCATATCACTAATTGTGTTGATTCTTTATTCTTCTTTGATTATTGTGAATTGATAATGACAAGTAGCAATGTCCACTAATGCCTGTCTAAATAGTAGTCTTCTGTAAAAAAAGTTTTTAGATTGCGAGCACTTCGTGCTCACTACAGTTACGTCGACAAAAACAACTAGGATAGATCACGAACATTTAACATCTTTTAAATGGCGTATTTCACCTTAGCAGTATTTAAGGATATGCCAAATAATCTAAACCGAACAGATCCTACCTGGACTTGACGAATTACCGGAAGTGCATTTTGAATTTCTAAATAGGCAACTCGACAATGGCTTTTTTAACCGGCCAATCATTGCTGGCATACCCAAATCCTAGTACACAGGTGGGGCCCCATAGAATAGGGACTCCAGCGCTGTTTCACAGACAGACTTCTATAACCAGACTTTAGTTTCGTCTGTGGTGCAAGCTAAATTGCTAGGCTGTTGCTATAGATTCATGAGCGAATTTGTAACATCGGCAGACATTATTCTGCTCTAATACAACACGAGAAGAACAGCCAACAACTCCTTCAGGAATGAGGTTGGTGTAGTTTGCGTGAAAAATATAAACTTCGCTTCTAGGCCTTACATGTACTTCTTGGTGTCTGGATTTGTTCTTCCAGTTGGTTGATCATAAATTTCTAATATTTCACCTGTATTAGGGTCGTATCTTACTTCGTTTTCTAAATCGTTACACGTACCGGTGTATTTATGCCCTGGTAATGTCCATCCAGCCTTTGGTTTTGGTTATTTGCCAATTTGTTCTCATGAGAATTTGCATTCATTGCCGGATGTGGCAGCAAGAGTCTTTTCACTGGAATCGACTCCTCTAGTGATACAACAGTCTCCTCGACTCAGCTAATTCATTCATTTATGTCTCTTTTTTTAATCTGTTTATTTATTTTATTGTCATTGCTAGTATATATTTTTTAAAATCGTCTTTCACGGATTCCGTATTCCGTTTCCGTGATTCCGTTCCCGTTTCCCAATTCTGGATTCCGTGTTTTAGTGCTGCCTGTACCGAACCAGTTCATTTCTTTACAAATAATCACTTGATCTAAAAGCCATTTATATAATTAGGTTACACTATTTTACTTTTCATTCTTTGTATTCCTGATCCAGATATTAAACGGTTTATTGTCATGTCTGTTTATTCCTCTCGTGGCGCTACTGAGGGTGAAGAAAGTTTAGTTCCCACTGATGGTCTATTGAATTTACCTGCCAGCTTTTTTTTTCATAATAAAATCACCACTTTTTTCAGCAGCTTTTTTACCTAATTTATCACCAGCATATGAAAGACCGGATTGTACTGCTTTTTCAGCAAATGGTTTGACAACTGTTTTACCCAATGAAGATGCAACTCTCCTATTTGCTTTGAGAATACTGTCGACAATTACCGTATTTATTCGATTAACCGCCCTGGGCGCTTATTAAATTTTTGGACCTTGCGAGTGGGCGCTTATTCGAGGTGGGCGCTAATTCAAGGCTGGCGCTTATTAAATTTTCAGTATTTTCAGCAAGTGAAGTATGTTTATTTTGCAACAAAACAATAAATGGTAATGACAAAACTCGAAGATGTAACAAGGAAAGGTTCCTGTAAAATACTTTGAAGAAAACTCCGTCTTCGGGGAAGTCTCTTGTTAGTGCTTATTCAATTTTTGGGGGGCGGGGTGGGGTTGGTCGCTTATTTGAATTGAGTGGGAGTGGGAGGGGGGTGGGGGGGGGTGGGCGCTTATTCGAGGCTGGGCGCTTATTACCTTTTTCTGCATTTAGGATGGGCGCTTATTCGAGGTGGGCGCTAATTTGAGGTTGCGCGCTTATTCGAATAAATACGGTATACCACTTCCTTTATGCTTGGGGAAAGTTCATTTAATATGACAAGGGGGGGGATGAAGATATTGAAACGCGAAGCTTGAAATTTTAACAGCCCCCCTCGCTAGCGGTTCAATTTTTAAGGAGCCCCCTCCTTGGTAGTCGAAAAAATTTCAGAGCCCGCCCCCCTCCTCCTTCAATTCCTTTGCTCCCCTGAAAAAAGATCGCTAGACTGTATTAAATATATTTACCGTTATTGTCTTCAATGGTTTATACTATGACAAACTTGAGATACAGTTGTGATACAATTTTCTAAAGCATTTTTGGGATGAACAAGAGTGTAATTACTGAGACTACATTTGTTATATCTGTAAACGACGTACGTGATATAGCTGAGTTGCACAGGTCATTAAATTGTTGAGTTGAAAACCATCCGATCTGTATGATGATGTCATGTGTTGGTTTTGAAGTATACAAATTTTCGGACCCCCCCTCCTAGCGCAACAATTTTTTCAGAGCCCCCCCCTTCAAGTGTCTAAAAATTTTCGGAGCCCCCCTCAATATCTTCACCCCCCTTGTCATATTAAATGAACTTTCCCTTACAGACAAATCTACCTGGTGTTGGGTGAAAAAATCTCATGAATTCATATGATTTTATCTATATGTTATATAAATTAAGCTATTGGTTCCAATCGTCTCAAAATCAAACAGAATGAAGTATCGGCTCCGTTTAAATCTACCACACGGCTTTTACCATCTGTGATATGGGTGGTTTTCACGTTACGTCATCGCCGCCATGCTGGTGGACGGTAAACAAAAGATCGCTCATTAGCTCGCTTTGTTTGTCCACCAGCATTTGTTCATTTCACCATTGTTATTTGTGTCTCCTGAGACTGCATGAAAACCACCTATACATTCTAATAGAGCTGACATTTTGTTTATTTATCGGATTAGATGTGATTCTTCTTGGTTCAAGAGTAAAACTGTATGAAGGTCTGAGTATGTAAATGATGTTACTTTCTTCTCCGTCCACAAGACTGTCATTTACTAAATCACAATGAATGTTCAATATGTCAGTATCTTGAGACAGATTTCGTACTTTCGTGCCTATATTGCTACTGCCTGTAAGAACTTTTTTATCATAAAAATTGGGTTTGGTGAGATCAACCTGATAGTTAGCCTTCAACGTTATTGTTACTTTGACAGTAGTCTAATTGAATGTAAGAATAATGGGGTACTCATCGTCTTTACCAGATGATTTTATAATCGAAAACAGTAATACGGAAAACATTAACTGAACGCTGACCATTGTAATTAAGTGTTTAACCCTAAACAGCGCTTAACCCTAGCCGTAAAATGAGGGCTTAACCCTAATCCGTAAAATGAAAGCTTAACCCGAATCAGTACAATGAGTTCTTAACCCTAATCAGTATAATGTGCAACTACTCATCTGTAAATTTGCAGTTTTTACTTGTGTTTCCTTTTTTTTTACCCATGCCTCGCGTGACTCGCATGGCTCGCTGGCTCGCAGTTTGTCAAGAGCAAATTCTAAGCAGTAGTGGGTTTTAGAGGAAATTTTGACCAAAGATTAATATTCTGTTTTCAAAATGACTGGTCCAGCAGGCCAATTCTAACTTTTTGCACATGCCATAAATGTCATTGTACAAATATTTAAAAAGGACAGTAAGCCAAGGTCTTGAAACAAAACCAAATCCATTTCACTAATTGATTCAATTCCCAGTAAGAGAAGTTAAACATTCTTGCGAGTAATCATGGACAGTCTGTCTCAGCAAGACATGTATATCTGAGCACCCTTTCTTGGCTAATTCGAGTACTTTCTCCAAGTTATCCACATGCAACCTTGAATCCATCTGAAACATAACAATGTTTCCAGATTTTGGCAAAACTGCTAAGCTTAACTGTGGTCCCCCAAAGCTCTCTTCCAGGTAATTGATGTCCATTAACGGTTTATCATTAATGAAGCTCACGGAGCAAGCGCTCACATAATCCTTCATTGGAATACCAGCATCAATAAGGGCCAAAGTGGCAGCATTAATACAGGCACTCTGGTTGGAACCATCTGCCTGAAGAATCTGTTCACGTAAACAAATTATAAAGAAAAAATTATAAACGGAAACTACTATTATTTTGTTTTAAATGTTCAGTGTTTTAGGGGGTATAATCAGGTAGTGTTTAGTGGTATGTCTTTTCGTTCATGCTAATGATCCAAATGTTCTCAGCAAAAAACATCTTTTGTAGAAACTCATTGGCAAAAGCAATTCTTTGTTCATCAAAACGTCACAGTCACTTGATGATGTCATTACCGAAACCAACAGATATAGAAATAAATAGAAATATAAGTAGGACCACCTGAGTTTGCAGGCCGCTACGATCGACACGTGATACACACACTGCAGTCACAGCAAATTAATAATTCTCTGCTTTGCTTTTTCATGGGCCCCCGGCCAATCAGGGGAATATGTCAGGTAATACATAGAGGATATTACACGGTGGCGAGAAGATATGAATTTTATGTTCGAGTAGCAAGAACAATATCTCACGAGTGAGCGAAGCGAACGAGTGAGATATTGTTCTTTCCACGAGAACATAAAATTCATATCTTCGAGCCAACGTGTAATGTTCTTTTTATTATATGGAGAAACCATTTCAACAAAAGCAAAAGGCGGGAATCGAGACGTCATTGAACGATACGACACTCACAAAGGTGACATACGGAAAATACGCCACTCGGGTCCCGGATGAAGTGGCGTATGGAATCTACGAGTGGTTTAGTTCCCAGTAAAACACTCTCCTCCATATAATAAATAGAGGATATTACACGGTGATGGGAAGATATGAATTATGTTTTCGAGTGGCAAAACAATATTTTACGAACGAGCGCAGCGAGTGAGTAAAATATTGTTTTTGCCATGAGAAAATAAAATTCATATCTTCAAGCCGCCGTGTAATGTTCTTTTTATTATATAGACAAAAAGACATCCATAAAATAATAGAGGGAAATGACCAAAATTACGGCATCGATAAACTCATGTGTGAGATTATGGAAAATAAATCACTTGCGTCCCGGATGTAGTTTTTATGAATTTTACGAGTGGTATATTTTCCAGTAAAACACTCGCGTCTATATAATAAAAGAGGATAAATATATAAGAATCTCTTGCTGGGGAGGGCAAATTCATCACATTGTTTACAATTCGAGGAATTCGAATATTGTGAAGTTTTCTGTTGCAAACAGCAACCACAGGAACATCACAAATATACATATTTTGTCGCCAAACTTAAATGAATAAGTCAAATTTGCTCCTAAACTACAGGGCTGTCATTAAGAGCTGGGGGCCGGGGATTTCCCCAGGCTACTATGAGTGTGGTCCCCGGCTACTTTTATTGGAAAATAGAAGAAAAATAGAACCAAAAGAAATTCCTTGCTGTTTGATTCCCCGCCTACTTGTTGTATTTACCCGGCAACTTGAAATTTTAGTGACAACCCTGTAAACTATCATAGGCTGTGTAACTGATTTTTCGCCCACTCTTCTCATGCCTTTTGCAGCCTATTTCCTTCCACGTGCTAGTGTTTTTGCGGTCTTTTTTAACAGTTGTGCCAATAAAACCCATGGACTAGGCAGATTACAGTGGCAAAAAAATACTATTCCCCACAATCACATGAATCTGAGTTTTACGAGGTGGATAACATTGACCATCACCTGACCCTGGAGAATGGTCTTGTTAAATTCACCTACACCTTCAGAAAATTCTTATTTTTGCTCCATTTTACAATCCCCCTGGTTGGCCCGGGGTCCCACCCCAGGGGCAAGCCGAGGACATGCGCGTTACTCTAGCACACGGATGTTTCTAGCAAACAGCGGCGCCGTGGCCCAAGAAAAAAACAAAACAAGAAAGCAAGAATCACCTGCACATAAATATCAATCTGAGATCGAGGGTAAAGCTGTGTTAAAATAGCAGCCTCAAAAGTTCTTCGAATAAGCATGGTGGTTTCTGTCGACCTCCTGTCTCCTTTTGACCTTTTCTTCCTTTCACCCGTGCTAAACGTCGCCATACTAAACTGACAATTTACAAACACACGATCGTGAAGAATTTTCGCCCTATTTGTAACCTCATGAGGTCCGTATACAGTGGCTAACGCTTTTGTATTCCCCATTTCGATGTACGCGGATCCGTCGGCTTGTTTGAAAACCCCCGTTCTGCAAATGATTTTTCGAAGTTCATGAGGTCTTCGGCCATCAAGACGTAGTCCTTCCGGAGAGAGGATCTCTAAACCAGCCATCTAGTCAATTTATATTGTATTTCAACCGCTCTACGACTTAATCTACGACTTGCTGTTCAAGGATAGAATCACCATGCCTTGAGGTTTGCGGTTCATGTAAAATACATTCTCGTGTCACCAGCATCAGGTATGTCGTTTCCAGTCCATTGCTCGTTCACTTGCCGTTGTTTTTCATTTCAAACCAGAGGACTTCCTATGTTTATTTCACTTAGCAAGCCACATGCAGTCTATGGTGGCGCAGGTAACACTGAAAGCAGCGAAATTACATTACTGGAAAGCGATTTGTCTTAGCAGACGTTGTTTTTCAGGTATAAGGCCTTAATTAATACGCTTAAACTTATTATTAATTTCTGACGTGAGGTTCAGATTACCTTGGGCTCACGCTTATAGATTTGCGTTTTGCGCTGAACTCAGCATCCCATCAGTGTAAAATTTTATGGCAAAGCAGCCAGAGCAACCGGCAATTACACAGATTTACTATTGGTATGTTTTTATAATACTGTAGTCCTAGGCATTCTTGGCGGGGGCCGAGAGTACGCCATTATAATTCTAATCATAACTACAACAAAATTGTCAAATTTGATTGGCTATCAACTGCCCTGATTTCAGCCTTAATTGGACAGTTTAATAGGACAGTACGCGTCATACCTAAGTAATTGGACAGTACGCGCCATCACGCGTGCGCTTAAATGGCTTTTTTTTTTTTCACTGCTAGCAAAACAAAATTTCGAATTTCTTGTGTCTTGATTTAAAACATAGCCTATTATGTTACAAATTTTGTTCAAGTTATGATTTTCTATACATTATCTAGCTGCTTGATTAAACGACTGTAATGAAAATGATCATTATTTTCTTTGTTGGTTAATTATTAACAAACCCCAGCCCAACCTCTATTCAGGGAACACTTACCTTGATCATAGGGTGTCTTCTGAATAGATGTACCATTGCATGTTTATATGATATGCATGTACAGGGAAATTCTATCACAATTTTAGACCAAAACGGTAATAAAAGAACATACCCATCGGCACTAACCCTCTGGAGTTGGGTACTTACAGTGTATTAATTTGACATATATATGGGATATATTGTTAAAGTGTGAAAGATAGTGGTTGCAATAGTTTAGTCTGGGAAAGTGTATAGAAAAATAGAGGATTTTGTTGTAGAATAGGCATTCATTTATGAGAAAAGACTAAAATGGATCAGAACGTGTTATGAAGATTGGAGTTTCTGGTTCATAGCTCATCTAGGATGGGGTAAGGAATTTTTTTGTCTAACTCTGGAATAGGGAAGCAAAATTGCAGCTGAACATGGTCTGGTACAGGCTAAGGATTCCATGAGGATCCTAATGACATATCCCCACCCTAACATCATCTAATATATGCCCTTATAAAATCAAACTTAATTGACAGATGTGATCTGACCTTTCAGAAAAAACCTTTTTCTCATTAACAATTGGTCCTGCAAGTTTTATTCTCCATGCATGGCATGAATATCTTGCTTTCTTTCTTTTTAAGCATCGTCGATATGCAAAAACATGGAGAAGACATTTCAGTTTCAAGACAAACTCCCAAGTCTTCCAGTTCCACCATTAGCTCAGACCTGTGAAAAATATTTAGATTCGGGTATGTACAATATTATTGTATTGCTACAGGGGTACCCAAAGTCAATTTTTGGAAAATATCTGTTCGGAAGACGATTTGAGATCTAGGATTTTCTGAACATTTGTTGGAAAATTTCTTGCTTGCCAGCCTCTCCTAGGATTTTCAAACATCCAAAAATGATATTATTACCCATTTTTAACAGATTTTTACCCTAAAAAGGTCACCTAGAATTTTCGGGAGCCTTTTTTCTGGCTGAAATTTTCAAAAAGGTAAGTTTTGATCCCTATAATTTCGGATCACTAGACTTTCAGCTAGGAAATCCAAACAGATGAAAAATTTTTAGGGGATAAAAATATGCCTATATCTACCGTTTAAATTCTAAAATACATTTAACCATGCTATGTTTAAGTGGTTTTGAACTATATTCTCGTTGGGTGCCCCTGTTGCTAGAAGTCAGGCGTTGACAACAACCACAGGCAGTAACTGGCACCTGGCTTCATGTTGAAAAATTTACACTGATCTCAGAATCTCATAGGTGTTTGTTATGAATTTCAAAAATTCTTCTCTTTATGAGTTTCTTCCCCTCTTGGAGTCCCAAACTTTTGCTCTAAGCTCTCCAGTTTCAAACAGTGATCTCTATAATCCTATCAGGAAGGGTTCTTATAGCCCCAGTTGATTAAAAGGTGGATAACGCTATCTATCAGGTAAATCACTGTTCAGTGAACAAGGCAATAATTGTTTTCCCAAATACGTCTTGTTTAGATGTTGAATTCTCCAGTGGATGGCACTGTCCACCATTTAAACAAGGGGCTTTACAATGGTGTTGGCAGCTTGGTTAGTCTGGGTGAGTCTGGCACAGTATCATTTCTGTTAATGTAAGTGTAAATAGTGAAGTGGGCTGCCACCCCAAGAGTCAGAAACAACACCACAGACAAACCGTTTTGCAATGGTCACCTTAGGGACTGAGGTACTGTAAATGACCGAAGAACATGCAGGAAGTCTATTTAATTTAAGTGGTCCAAGCAGGGGCATTTATTAGATACCTAGGAGGCGTTTAAAGAGAGAGGAATGTATTCTTTAATTCATAGCTGTATCAAGTTCAACAAAACTATAATATGCTTCTAGCGAAAATATCAAGAGAGTTTAAATATAGTGGAATATCCACTCCATCAATTTTGATATGTCTGGCTGTCTAGAGATCCATATCACTCTTTCAAATCCCAGCATTGATGTCATAATCATTGAACATTGAACAAGATGAAATGTGCAAAGCCTTAAAGCAAGAAACTGAATGAATCGAATAATTTTGCCCTTTTTGCTAATTCCTAGTATTTTGGAGTAATTCTCATAGGGGCGTTTATTAGAGAGGGGCATCTAATACAATTTTAACAGCGTAGAGGGAGTGTTTATTAGATAAGAGGCATTTATGTGGAAGTGGCCGTCTATTAATACCAGTAGGTCATTTACAGCAAGTAGCTGTTAGGGGAATGGGGGAAGGTAATATGACACCTTTTTGGGGAAATGTTCCAGGACCAGTTCTATTTTTAAAAACACTTAAAGCACATTATTGCATACAACAATAATAATAACAGTTTATTTATTTATTTATTATTTTCATTCTTGTGTTGTGTTATAGTGAAGCCTCATCTTACAAGAGAGGAGTTTCTCCATACAGAATTTTTAGTGAATGAATTTGCCAGTGGTATTGGAAAAGAACTTCAGCGAAAACTTGAGTTAAGAGCCAAGAGCATGAGAAATTGGGTAACTATTAATGGCTTTGTCTACCTCAGCATCACTTTGTGGTGCACTGGGTTTATTTTGCTGGTGTATGCAGGTGTAACTAAAGGCATTAGGATTAGGGGTATAGTTCAGTTAGTTAGAGGACTCTTAATTTAGTCACACCTGCATGTGCACCTTTTATAATAAGTAAATATAAAAGAGAGTTTAAGCTTCGTGTATATGGCATATGGCAAACATCAGATTCAAGTTGAGAATTCCTCAAAATAGAACATGAGCAGCTCAGAACAATAAATATTCTTATGGAGAAAAAATTGAAAAAAATACTTTATGTGCATTAGAAATGATTTTGAACAGTAAGCGACAAGTAGTGGGGAAACTTGGTCATGTGGTACAAATTCGCACTTGCCATGTGACGTAAACATGATGCGTAACCTCTCTAATAATATCAAACCCTCCATGTGTAGAGTTTCATCAATAGGAGATTAGACTGTACTGCAGTTTATGTGATCTTATTATGATTAATTTTGATGCACACTTTGACTGGCCACAGATGTAATTCAATGTTTGATATATATTTTCTGTGAAGTAGTTGACAAACCCTTGTCCTCGTTAATGCCACCATAAAACTGTATTATGTTATACTGGAAGAGGCTTGCAAAATTAAAGCTTGCATGGATAAATTTAAAAACTGGCTGCTAAGAATTTTTAAGTGAGAGTGGGAGGGACAAAATGCCTACTATAATCTGAGTACATGTATTGTACTGGCAATTTTTCCATAAAATATTCTTCTTTATTCTTTATCAGAAAGTGTGTATGCTTGGGAACTCTTCTCATGGAGCTTCCAGTAGTTTGATTCCCGAAAGGAGGGAATAACATTTAAGAGAACTTCACCTCCTAAGTTTCTCAGCAACTGGTGGAGCCCCTCCCCCCGCCCCTCCCCTTTAACAAAAAGAGGTGTACCTTACTGGCCATGAATGGTCCCTTACCTGCTGAGGTAAAATTTAGGGAGAACGCTGACTTGTGGGAGGCTCAAATATATGTTTGTTCATCAGCTTGAGCCGTGGTGGGAAGATGTAGCGTATCTATCATCCCGCTCTCCGTCTGCACCTACTATCAACATTGGAGGCCCATTACCTATAACAGATATTTGGCCTGCTCAGGAAGGGACCCAAATCAAGAGAGCTGCGTTAATGGTTCATGCAACTCTTCAGAATTGGCAGAGACTCTATAGGTTAGTAAACAAGTATACAAGCACCTTAAATACAGCATTCTAGCAAAGTACCATTTACAAACTTGAATATGAAACATTTATGTTTATAGGTACATGCTGCTTATGATAACAGTGAAATCCTTCCAGTCATCTGTGGTAAAAGCAGATCATGTTGACCCAGTGTTCTGAAGCCTTAATGATATTGTGCACAGTTGTCGCACACACTCCTTAGTAGGGTGTTCACGAGGCATCAAGAGATTAGAGAATTCTTCATTCACTTTGCAGAATTCTCCGGCAAACGTTTAGTAGCTTATGACTATTTTTTATCCAGATGTGGAGCCTCTTTCAAAAATGTTCTCCTGTACCATTACACCTTTCTCCTGTGACTCGACTTCTTAATGAAAACCCTGCAAAGTTTTACCGTTTAAGGTTTCCTAAACAAATCAATATCCTTCTGCTGCTCAAGAGGGCTGTTACCATGTCGAGCAAGTCTTCTTGTCACGCAGCACAAAGAGTGATGGCACGAAAATAATAAGTCATAATCATAATCATCACTACATGTACTCTCAAATTCGTCACTTCTTGGGTGTCAATGTAATTACTGTATACCTGCCAACTCTCACGCCTGCGGGTTGAAAACTTCGATCTCACGCCGGCTCACGCCTGCGGGCCAATTTCTCATGCCTGATTGAAAAATGTGAGTTGTTGCCGTCCTGCTTGAAACAATTTCCAAAAATATGTTAACTCAGACCCATGTAAGGAACGAAAACCATGTGTAAAATGAATAAATGGCAATACCTTCCTCGCGATCTCTGATTTTTGAAGTGAAAAGCACTGGGAGCAAGCTCGCCTTTGGCAGACTTCGCAGACTTCAGACGTCTTCGGAAGACTTCGGACTTCTTCGGGAATCTTCGGAAATGATCGAGTCGTCTTCAAAAATCCCAGCACTCCCAGGATAAAAATCTCACGCTTATATCTCAGAAAAAGTTGGCAGGTATATTACTGGTAAGATAATTTGTGGGGGGAGGCTAGCGAAAGGGACATTAAAGTGTAATTCTCCTTATCGCAAAACTTTTGTCATGTCATATTATAACCTGACTGTATGGCAAGAGATCTAATTCAATTCACAGAGTTAACACAGTCAACAGGTCAGCGTTGACCTTTTGACAACTGCTGTGGTCATTTTCTTTTCATAGTGAAACAATGCGTGCATGTATTTTCCTTAGATCTTTCCATCGATACCTTGTTTTGGAAATTCTGACCAATTCTGAGTGAGTTACTCACAAAAATTATTATACCAAGTAGCATTTTGGGAGGAAATCCTATGACTGGCTTACCACACTTTGCAGCCAAGATTAAATTTGTCCAGTGTCCTGAAAAGTTAGCCAGCCGCAATGCAAGAGAAAGGCAAAGGGAGGAAAGGGAGAGAGAAAAAAAGATCATTTATGTTGATATGGAATAGAATCTTCAAAAAAAACCGCAAAATTTTGGCTTGATACCAGTATGTGTGAAAATAAAAAAGCTGCTAATTAAGAATTGCATTTAATTAGTCAGAAAATATGCCCTTAATGTTGCATAAATTATCTCATTTTTAGCCATTTCCATGCTAATTGGACAAAAACCAGTTCAAAAAAGAGGATGAAATTGCTGGAAATGTGTTTTGTTTTTGCTGTAACTCAATGGCAGTCAACTTAGCTTAAAGGTTTCTTATTTATGTTATAAGCATATCAGTGCATATCTGTTCATATCTGTTTACTAGCTGATGCTCCATGTTTTGTTTCAGTCTTTTGGAAATTTCTGTGAAAAAAAGAGATGTATTAAACATTGTATTATGGTAATATATTGACACACTTGTTTTCCTAATAATTTTTATTCTGTCTTCTCACTCCTTATTGATTTTGTTTAATAGGCAAGAAGTACCTGTTGACAGAATGGGTTCCATTCCAATGTGTATGTTTCAATTTTCTCGACTCTACTCTTGTTGCAAGATTCCTGGCAAGGAAAAAGATTCATTAAAAGCCAGCTTTGTAACAGGTACAAATTAATTAAATTAGGCAGCACAGCTGAGTGGTTAGCCTGCATCGCAGACTTGGTCAAGCCAAATTCAAAAGGGAAAAATGAAGCTTTATTCCCTTCCCCATGGCCACCTCCTTCATGCAATAATGGGCTGCTGTTTTTAAGCCAGTACCAGTAGGAAACTGCAAACAACCCAAATTTGAATTTAGGGGGAAGGGGTGTGGACTGTTTTGTTTTCTGAAGTTACCCCATGAAAGGACAGTGTCTCAACAATTTTGCCATTCATTTGTAGTTTTTCTTTCGCTGCCCTTTTTTCATGTTTATGCTATGCAAATCCCTTACATGTGGGACATTTGATCATTCTGATGGCCTACATAGCGGAAAATCAAAGAGCTTTCCAATACATTGGGACACTGGGTTAGATCAAATTAAGACAGACAATATTATTGTCCAACGTTATGGAACTTTTTCGTGAAATAGTAAAATAATAATTATTGCCAAGCCTGACTTATTTTATTCTCTTAATGTTTAAGCGCCTTATGCTTCACCACGTCATATTATGGTGCAAATAAGAGGAAGGATCTTTTGTTGCACAGTATTAGATGAAAATATGGAGCCACTTTCACCACCTGAGATAGAAAAGTAAGTATGAGTTTTTCTTTTGGTCCTTCATAATAGCTGTGTTTTAACAATGTATAACTCGCTCTGGTGGGGATAGTGCCATATACAGGATATAATAATAGGCATGCGCCACTGTGACAGGTATGATTTTCAAGCAACTCAGTCTGGGATATGGTATTATAGAAATCAAAGAGTTTGGGTCTAGAATAGGGTGTCATTTTCAAGAAAACTGATCAATTTGGGGGTTGAAGAAGATTTTAGTGTACACCGGGAAAACCAGGAATTGACGCTAAAATGAATGAAATCAGCAAACCTTAATTCACCCACAATCTGCAAAGAAGGCATCGACCTTATTAATGTCTGAAAAATACAAGCACCTATAGGATAGGGCGGTAGTTTAGGGTAGCATAATTAGGTCTGGTATAGGGAAAGGGGTCTGGGCTCCCAGTGGCACATCCTTACACAAACATTCCTAAAGTACCTCCCCCTGCCCCCCGCCCCCCGGAACTCACCATAGAATCAAAGAAGATTGCACAGTGCTACAGTAACATGTTGCTTGTCTCCAAGATTTATTTGAAAAAAGGCACATAGCATTACTGACGTGGATAAGGGCCCAGGGATGGAGGTACTTCCATGTGTAAGCTATTAAGGTACATGTCACAGGGATAAGGGTATGGTTTTTAAGGTGCTAGTAAAGTGATCCCTTTATGGCCTTTTTAAGGCAATGTTTCCTTGGCCTGTGCCACAGACGGAATTACTCAAGGGGTGTGGTATACCCTTTTCTAAGATGTCTAGGTATCTGCCATAGGGTAGAGCATGAACTCGGGTCTGTAGCCCCATTTATATGGGAGTCCCCCCGGGAGAAATAGAGGGAAATTATGCAACAATGTTTAATATTTCACAATGGAAAAAGAGTTTAAGAAGGAGGAAGCGAAAAATATTTTGCAAAAGTCAGGAATGCAAACCGCCCGCCCTGTCCCCCTCCCCCCTACTTAATTCACACAGTATGTCACTGGTGATTGGCAGTCAACAGCTTAGAATTGAAAAAGCTAACGCTGAAAAGCTGGTGAACGTCAATACCTGGTGACTGTGCTAACTAAATAACAATTGTTGATTGGATACACCCCTGACCAACTGTTTATAGGCAGCTTCAAGAGATCGAGTCCTTAGCATCATCGCCTGGATTAGAGATAGGCAGTTTGACAGGAGCAGATCGGAATGTTTGGTATGAGGTGAGGAGGTCATTGACTTTGATGTAGCGCAGAGAAGAGTAGCGCACTTTCACCATGATACATTACAGGCACTATTTTTAAGCATCCCACAAGCGAACATGATGTGCAAAGGATCCTGGCAGCTTGAGTCATGGACAACAGATGGACCTGTGTAACTTTATTGGTTTCACACTCAAGGGTGTAAGAACAGGCCTCTTTTGGGGAATCCCATAGTTTTCAATGACAGATTTTTTAGTAAGTCCTTTACACAAGTTTTGGACTGATGCCTCGGGACATGGGAGGACATGTTTCTGGAAAATTAACCCTTTTTTTCCAATAAAATGCAACATGAATTCTCTCCTAATATTATCAGTACATCATCCAGGGAAAAGGTTATCGGAATTAACAAAATGATCAACTAAAGGAAAATTGGAGTGATCTTTTATGAAATTCTCTCAACCAGTTTTTTCAATGAAATTTAAGGGTGTCAGTTTGGAGAATTTGTATGTGGGTAAAAAGGGGGTGCAGCGCATGACACCAAAAGGAGTAAAAAAATCATACCCTTTATGGCCGCACAAACTGTATAGCTTATATCAAGAGCCATAATGGGACAGCTGTCCCATCATGGCTCTTGCTTATATAAGGGCGTACCAACCACACCCCCACGAAGTAAGGAACCATAAACGGCAAAACCTTCAGATCCAGAGACTAATCCCCTCCCAGCCCGGGCCCGGTAGTCTGCGTAGCAAGTGTTTCCGTGCCGTTTCGGAGCAAAAAACAAGGAATGAGTGTCAAAAGACCGCGCGAAAAATGTGACGAGCAAAAGAACGGGGAGGGGGTGGGGAGGAAAGGAAGAGAACTTCCCCTCCCCGCCTCTTTCATTTTTGGCTCTCATCCCATTTTTCGCCTGACGAAGACCAAAAGTCCAATTCCTCGTCGTTCCTCGTTCTCTTTTTGTTCCGAAACCACACTGAAACGCTTGCTACGCAGGCTACGGCCCCGATGGGAGACTCATCTCTCACGTGAACAATCCAAGGAATTATGCAGGCTAAACTGCTTCTTGCTTTTACGTTCCCAGCTACGAGAGAGGCTGATTAGGTTGGATAAAACCAACCAAAAGAACCTAGAGACTATTGAAACAAGTTTGTTTGCCCTGGTTCTTGATGAGCGCAGCCCAGTGACAGAAACAGAGGTAACTGTATAAAGAGTTTGATGCAGTGTTCTTACCAGACCGCAGTATTGCGGCATTGCTGCCCTTTTTCGGGAAATGCCGCACTATAATTAGCCCAAGGAGACCCAAGGGCACAAAGAAGGGAAAGAACCCTATTACCAAATGTATATAAATATACGTACACATAAATAAATTTCCTTATAACATAAGCCAAAATTTAATTGGTTATGGCGTCTTTAGAAAACACCCATGATTATATCTAAGACTGAGACCTGTGAAAACGTTGAGATAACTGTATCTGAAACTGGTGACCCGCTTTTCTACCTCACGAGATCCACATTTGCCTCATTTGACTAAGTAAGTGTGTAGGAATAATCGCGATAAAGTCTGAAATTACGCAGTTATACTTTTTAATGAGACGTTCTCGTTGCCGTCGCGTCGTTGGATCTTAAAGTCCAGTAGTCCCTATTAGTTTTTTGGCACTAATTAGAGACCTTTAGATTCGAGGACGGGGACGGCTACGATTACGAGATTTGACTTAAAGTTTTTTCGCGTCTTCTCAAAATATAGACTTCCCGGAGAACTTCATTTACCATATTTCACAAGAAAAGTTGGCACTGTTATCTTTGGTGAAAGAGGTTTCGCGCTTTCCCTATCGCAAATGATAAAACTCCTAACATTTGATATCTTTTTTTCGCCACCACGACATTCGCGCGAAAACTCGTAGTAGAATGGCGACGGCTACCACGTTTTCCCGCCAAAATGACGCTGGCTCACGCGTGAGCACTACTTAGTATTAGAGGAATTTAGAGTGACGTTTACGGCAAACGGCAAACGTCAGATTCAAGGGAAGAATTTCTCAAAATAGAAAATGACCGGCTAAAAGCAGCCTAAAAAATTGTTATAGACAAAACTAACGTGGAACGAATCACTAATTTTGGGGTAAAAGTAATGAGCAGTAAAGCAAGAGTTGAGGGAAAACTTGGTCACGTGGTGCAAATTCACGTTTGACGTTAGCCGTAAACGCGACTCTAAATTTCTCTATGTTATAATTGAGAAAATCTCGTACTCGTACTTGTCTTAGAATCTAAGATCATCTGAAGCTCTCTACTAAGCTCCAAAGCAAGTAAGTGCGAGTAATCTGCAATACTAGACATTACCTCAGTGACTTATGTTCTCTTTTTATCGCAGGTGTGTGTAGAATCAGTAAAGGGCGATTGTAGAAATCGATGGTTTGACAAATCCTTAAGCATTTTAGCATTCAAATCTGGGAGGTTTGCTACTCACTGTGATGTAAGTACAGTTACTTCATATTTGCACAGTTGCTTTGACCTAGCCCCTCACAGAAAGCTAACTTCCATTGCAAGGTCATTTGAATAGGGAAATGTTATCCATTCAGGGAGTTTGCGAAAGTTCACGTGGTTACGTGGCCTTGTGTACATTTAGAGACGTCCAAAGACAGAGCCCCTGACCATAAAAAAGAACCTCTGAGACAAATGAATGTAACAACATGAATTATTAGTGATGCAAAGAAATTTTCCTCATCCACTTATCTTGGTCCCTGCGCCTCTTTTGGGTAACCTGTGTAGTAATCACGTGCCAAGCGGTCAATGGTTGACTAGTTGTTAGGTGTGGGGCTCTGCCAAAAAAATGGAAGGATGCGTAGAAAAACATGGTCATTTTGTCGTGAAACCCCAAATATATATTTTTTCTAATACAGTTAATATCCAGGGCCCGGTTGCTGGTAAGTATGGTTAAGTTTAACCCAGGATTAAGCGAAATTTTAAGCAAGGTTTTCTTGCTAAGAGCATGTAACTCAAGCTTTCAAAATACTGTTGAGTCTTTTCTTTGCGACACAGTAATGATTTACACAAAATGTTTCTCTACGCAATGCGTAGGAAGGTAAATACAGAAAAGGGAGTAAAATCTTAATCCTGGATTGGCGCTAATCGGGCTTTCAGGAACCAGGCCCAGAGGGCTTAAAAAACGGAATAGAAAAAGCGCTCGGAAAGGAGCTAAAACAGTGCTGATCAAAATGCTTTTTGCATTAATTTACTGGTTTTTTATTAGCATCAAAACGTCATAACAGAGCGGATTCATTTCAGTACATTTGGAGGGAGGGGTGCCTATATCCGGGGGGACGCTTATAATCAGATGTATTTTTTTGTAAATCATAACTATAACAAAATTCTCAAATCTGATTGGCTATCAAGTGCCCTGATTTTAGCACTATAGAACAGAACGCGCCATCACGCGCGCGCTAAAATGGCTTTTCTTTTCACAACTAGCCAAAAAAACTCTCGGAATTTCTTTTGTTTTGATTTAAAAAAGCCTAAAATGTCCCAAATTTTGATTTTGTTATAGTCATGATTAATTTGTAACAGAACTTCGTGTCGTCCAATTCGGTCTGTAATCATACTCGTGATTAAACCGCCGGACTCCCGCCCCGCGTCGTCCGATTTTGTTTAATCACTCGCATGATTACCTATCGACTTGGACTCCACTCATTACTATTACCACTATTTACAGGTAGATAGACGTATAACTGAGGAGGGGAAGGGAGGGGGGCTTATAAGCGCCAGTTTACTGTGTACCGTTGCTAAGACTAGAATACCTCTCGTCTGGGTCTTTTGCATTATCAACTAACTACCATGAACATTTCGATTAGATTCGTACCTCTATCCTTGTATGAAAATTAGAATTCATTATTCATTCAAAATATTTCACCGTTTCTGACTGGCTCTAAGCTAGCACCGGCTAAATGTTCATACCCAACCGGCGTTGATCAAATTTGAAAGATGCGAGCAACATACCATCGAATCGATGGCGTATTGGCTTGGAAACGGGGTTGATCGATGGTATAATATTTACCTGGAAACGAGGCTACTCGCGCGACAGTCTATTGATCAACCTCGTTTCCAGGCGCGGGCGCCTAACTGTTTATTCACGAGTGAACTGAAAAAATAGCGTTCACGGTTTGTGAAGACTAAATAGCTGATTTCTGACTAAAACTGACCGGAAGAAATGCAAGAATACGCACAACATATTGCTCGATGGATGTTATCTACTTTTTTAGCAGTATCTACTAGAAAATACATCTGTTTATATCCTGAAACCGTACCAAGAAACAAGCCAAAGTTTAGAAGAAAGTCTATGAGGGGGTAAGCTTGTTAACCCTCTAAACCCTAAGATCAAAATTTGAATTCTCATTTGTTGCCCCTACTCATTTCCTATAGAAGTAGTGGGGAGAGGTTGATAAAATTTCAAGCAAATTCATCTAGTGTTATCTTGTCCGTAATTCTCATAACCACTCTGTTTTGAAAAGTATTGATATTACAAGGAGAAATTTGGTGCTGATAACTCTTAGGGCTTAAAGGGTTAAGAACTTAGAAATATTTTGAATAAATGATAAAACAGTTATTGAATTCGGCTTTCGTATGATGTGAAGAATTATCCGCATCTCGGAGTTTGCCTCCTCGATCTGTATAATTCTTCACATTCGATTCACATCATCCTCAGCTCACTTAATAATTGCTAATATTTCTTACCATTTATTCTTTTTACAGCACGCACCGTTTGATGGCATTGTACAAATAAACTCTGTTTACTCAGCATGTATGTATCTTTATGGAAACGGAGGGAAATGGAAGGTAATGACTTTTCCTGATGCTGTAGAGTGGCTAGGCTGTTTTAATTTCGTGTTTTATTTGGTTTACGGTCGTTTCGACTACGAGTCGTGTCTCGTCGACGTCCTGTTCGCTAACTTCTGAAGTCGTTTCGCGTGCGTGTCGGGTCATTTCCCTAATTGCTTTCGCCTGATCAGTGGCTGAAAGTTTGGTTCGTCTCATGAAAAGTTCGAAGCTTGACCCGGGCCTTAACCAAACTGACCCTGCAAAATCCTATATTTGGTCAGCTTTCGCTATACTAACCATTAGAAAAACTAGGCGCAATTGCTTTGTTTCAACTTGGCGTTCTGTCGATCAAATCAATTGTTATTTTTTAGTTATTTCGTGGTCAATGTTTTTCCCTCACAACCTGAAATTCGGTGAATTAAACCTATATACCTGGTCCTAGTTGCTTAAAAGCTGGATAACGCTATCCACTGGATAAAAC